AAAAAAAAAAAAAAAGAATTCCACATCTGCCTATGGTTGGCAGTGTGATACTGCCAAGTTACTTAGTCCCTCAGAGCTTTTGTTTCTTTATCTACAAATGACACATGTACTACTCTGCAGCACGTTTGGCATTCTGAACAGTTAAAAATAACCATAGTGCCTGGCACCAGTGGCTCACACCTGTAATCCTACTCAGGAGGCTGAGATCTGAGGATCTCGGTTCAAAGCCAGCCCAGGCAGGAAAGTCTGTGAAACTCTTTATCTCCAATAAACACTCAGAAAATTGGAAGTGGCGCTGTAGCTCAAGTGCTAGAGCACTCACCTTGAGCTGAAGAGCTGAGGGACAGTGCCCAGGCCCAGAGTTCAAGCCCCATGACCACCACCACCAACAACAAAAAATATGTGTTTGATCTCACACTGTCAAATATGTACTTCAAAACCTCCTGCATACCTGACTTCAAAAAAAAATACAACACATGCCATCAAACCAAATATAAATGGGGTTTTCTCTGCTTTTAAAACATGTCACCCCTAGCAAAGATACTTGATAAATGTTCACTTGTATCCATTAAGTATAATAACAATTATCTTCAAAGCTATCTGTAATTATTTTACCCACTACCCTTCAGAGACATACTGTGACTAACGGAATATTTTTTTTCTTTCTTTCTCTCCGTCTTTGTTTGCCCTAACCGTGAGGTGAAGAGGGACAGCGCCCAGGCCCAGAGTTCAGGCCCCACACAGACAAAAAAAAAAGAAAGAAAGAAGAAAGAAGAACTCAATTTCTCTTTGGGAATCTACATTTTTAATGCATTCAAGTCAATGGTTTTCTTAGATTTTTAAAAAATTGTTTGAATTATTTTTAGACATTATTTTTAATGGGAAGCTACTATCAAATGATCCCACAGAGTCTGTGAGGAAAATTCAGTAAATAGCAAAAATCCATCAACTTCAAGAAATACTTTCATGTCCTCACTATAGTCCAATCCTTCCCAAAAGCAGAATCTAGTAGGGCCTTAATTAAAGACGGCAGCAAAAATCAGGCTATTACCTATCCTTATGGATGCCCAGCACTGAGCAGTTTAAATAGCATCAGTCCTTAAAGTAGAGATCAACAACTACCAGATTCAGCCCTTGGGGTTCAATTGGGGGATTAATCTAGTATTATAGTAAAAAATAAGCACCTGTCCAAGACTAACGTCATGGCTCAGCCAGCCAGATCAGTTGAGTGAAGCAGCTTCCAGTCCAGAAAGCACTAGAATATCTAACTTTGCCTCTGCCAACTTTTATCTTCCCAATAACCTCAAATGCCTCAACTTCCCATTCTAACAAGACATGTTTAAGCTTAAGTTGGGTCATTTATGACTCAAAGCAGTGATCTGGAGTTTAAAAAAGGAAAACAACAACAACAATATAACAAAGAGCTTCAGGCAGGTACATCTATAATCTCAGCACTTAGGAAAGAAGGTCAGAAGATTGTAAACTCAAAGTCAGCTTGGGCTACATAGCAAGACTTTGTCTCAGACTCCTCCATAAACAAACAGACAAAATAAGCAAAAATACAAAACAGCTTAGAATTTTAAGTTTCTATTAATTTATTAGAATATTAAGATATGATATCTTTCCAGGCAATGTACTTCTCTATATCCTGTACAACCCATGGGACTGCAGACACCTCTGTAATGACCAACAACCAGCAAATCAATTCCTCATTCTATTACTACTCCCAAATGAAGTCCCTCTTATCAGACCATGTGAAGAACAAAGATTCACATCACCAAGTTTCTCCTACTAAGTCGCCTCTTGACCTCATACCATAAAATGCTGGCCAGAAAAATGGCATTCTTATAGTAACAGAGGAACGTGCCCCTCAAATGAACTTTACTTTTAATTGAAGGTGGGGGCTGGGAAGGTGGCTCAGTGGTAGAGTGCTTGCCTTGCATGCATCAGTCCCAGGGTTTGATTCCTCAGTACCACAGAAACAGAAAAAAGCCTAAAGTGGTGCTGTGGCTCAAGTGGTAGAGCACTAGCCTTGAGCCAAAGAAGCTCAGAGACAGTGCCCTGGCCCTGAGTTTAAGTCCCATGACAGGCAAAAAAGAAAAAAAAAAATGAAGCCAAGACAGACTTAACAATTTTATAGGGTTATACAGGTGGGAATGCAGGCTTAAATGCACATCATTAGTTATCAAAGGAGAATGCACTAAGATGCTCACACTACTAGGCCATGACAACCAACCACCTACAGCCCTGAGCTCTCAGCACCAGAGCTGTCACCCAACCAATCCAAACTAGAAACCAGGAACTATCATCAGTTAGCAAGGTGTGGGAGATGCTTGGCCAGCTAGCATCGAGAAAAACAGATCAAGAACTCAAACAACTACAAGAGTGTCGGCAACAATCAATATTTAAAATTGCAGTTAAACAATTCTTTCAAGGCTGGGAAGGTGACTCAGTGGTAGAGTGCTTTCCTCCCAAGCATGAAGCCCTGGGTTTGATTCCTCAGCATCACATAAACAGAAAAGGCCAGAAGTGGCACTGTGGCTCAAGTGGTACAGCACTAGCCTTGAGCTGAAGAGCTGGGGGACAGCACCCAGGCCTAGAGTTTTAGCCCCACAACTGACCAAAACAAACAAACAAACAAACAAACAAAACAATTATTTCACCTATTCCCTACATATGAAAAGCCAAAATACCCTATAAGCTACTCTGGGTTAAGTTTCTGGGATGTAAGGAATCAATGAGTCACAAAGACTGAAAAGACATCAGTAATAAGATATACAAATACAATAAACTGAAAGCCCAATAACAATATTTAGGACAAAATAAATTGAGCTTGCCTTTTTACCCAGGGGACAAAAATCCATCCTAATAAAACAACAACCAAAAAAAAGTAGGAACACATTCCAAATGTATACTGCTGTGCATTGTTGTTACTCTAAGTTTTGTATATATTTAACAGTGGAAGTATGGCTGGTGGTATTTTTGACATTCTTGGGTTTTTTTAATGCTGAAGGTAAACTCAGTCTTCCAATACCCAAACCAGAGCAGACAGACAAACGTGAATTATAAATATGGATGAAGCAGTATCCACAGGATACTGTAGGGGGAGGGGAGAAGGGGTAGGCTTCTGTATCACTGCTGTTGGCAGAAGAGCTAAGAAATCTTAAAAAACTGCCTCTGGGGAGTGGCAATCTAGTATTCTAGGTTTGCCATGAAGGGGTATCACAAATCCCAAGGCCCACCACCTGCCCCTTCTCCTCTTCTCCGAGGGCACCTACCTTACTGTAAGTCACTACTGATAAGTTGTTTGCGTGACTGCTGGGGGACAGATTTACAGAGTTCTGTGAGAGTCTATTCTGATCTTGCTCGGTTTGGTCAGGAGCAGGAGCCCATGTGTTTTTGCTGATCGAGTCGAACCCGGAACCCCCAGGGTCTTTTAGGTTGTTTTCATCTGATTGTCGGTTCTTTTGGGGAGAGGCAAACGGGTTGAAGTTTCCTTCTACCTTGCGATGTGGCTGTGTGTTGAACTCCGTTTCAAAAGATGACAGCTGCTGTGTTACTCCTAAAAGTCCACCCACCTCCACACTGAGAATCACCCAGATGACATCTGAAACAAAAGCGAAACTCCTATCAATGCCAGTCATCCTCCAAATAAGAGACAGAAATCATCTTCCATATGATGCCCAAGAGCAAGTACAGTGTATTCAACTCAGCACTTTTAGAAATGCCAAGTACAAACTCTGGTGCAGATCCAAGAAACTAAAGGTTTATCACTTGATTCTGACACACAGCCATTTTGGAAATATTACTCCAGAAGACAATGACAGAAACACAGAAACTTCTGTTCTCAGACCTTTTGCTTTATTTTGCATGTACTTAACTAAGAAAACCCAGAAAAGGCAAAAATCCTTCAACCAAGGGCTGGGATGTATCTCAGTGGCAAAGTGCTTGCCTAACAAGTGCAATGTCCTGGGTTCGATCCCCAGTACCAAAAAAGAAAAGACCCCCCAAAAAAATACAGTTAAAAAAAAACCAAACAGGGCTGGGAAGGTGGCTCAGTGGTAGAGTGCTTGCCTTGCATGCATGAGGCAATGGGTTCAATTCCTCAGCACCACATAAACAGAAAAAAAAAGCTGGAAGTGGCGCTGTGGCTCAAGTGGTAAAGCACTAGCCTTGAGCTGAAGAGCTGAGGGACAGTGCCCAGGCCCAGAGTTCAGGCCCATGACAGGACCCCCCCAAAACAAACAAACAAACAAAAAATTCTTCAACCAAAAGATGCTTACTGGATTGGGAATGTGGCTTAGTGATAGTGTGCTTGCCTAGCATGTATGAAGCCCTGAGTTATATTCCTCAGTTCCACAGAAAAAGCTGGAAGTGGTGCTGTTGATCTAAAGGTAGAATGCTAGCCTTGAGCAAGAGAGCTTAGGGACAACGCCGAGGCCCTGAGTTCAAGCCCCAGGATTGGCTAAAAAAAAAAAAATGCTTATTGCTAGGTAGTAATGGTTCATGACTGTAATCCTAGCTAGCTGTTCCCAGGCTAGCACTCTACCACTTCGAGCCACAATGCCACATCTGGTTTTCTGTGGTTAATTGGAGATCAATCTCTCATGGACTTTTTTGCCTGTGCTGGCACTGAACTGTGATCCTCAGATTTCAGTCTCCTGAGTAGCTAGGATTACAGGCATGTGCCACGAGTATCTGGCTTTTCCATTTTTTATCTGGCTTCTGCATCTGAAGAAAGGGATTTCACAATGTCATATAGCCATAAATACTGAAGTGTAGTGGCATGGGAACTGTTCTAGAGAACTGATTGAATCCAAGTAGCTAAGGGCCAGAGCCCAGTAAGTGGAAATGGAGTGACACCTGCTGTTTACATCTGGAATTGCAATGCTTCATTCCTCTGGAATTGCAATGGTTCATTCCTAAGAGGAAGCTAAATTAGCCACTAGGGGTACTAGTAGGACAAAGCAAGGTACAACCACAACAGACACTCTTTATTAAACATAAACTCTCTACCACTTGAGCCACAGTACCACTTCTGGTTTTTTGGTAGTTTATTGAAGAGTTTCATGGACTTTCCTGCCCAGGCTGGCTTTGAACTATGATCCTCAGATCTCACCCTCCTGAATAGCTAGGGTTACAGGCATGAGCTACAGGTGCCTGGCTGATACAAGCTTTAAAGAACAATCTGATAACAGAGTCATTCCACATTTTTCTATCTATCACTCTAATGATCATTTTTCCCAAATGCATAGGTCTTACATAATTATTTATTCCTACTTTTATCTTCTCATTTAAAAAGTGCTTTTCTAAGCACAAAACAAGTCCAGCATACTCAGTCCCAGGTCATATCCTTCATTATTATACTTAGTAAACTTAAATGCTTATGAGAACTGGTCTTAGAAAAAGCCATTTGAGGGGCTTGGAAGGTGGCTCAGTGGTAGAGTGCTTGCCTTACATGCATGAGGCTCTTGAGTTCAATAGCAGAAAAAGCTGGAAGTGGCACTGTGGCTGAAGTGATAGAGTGCTAGCAAGCCTTGAGCTGAAGAGCTGAAAGACAGTGCCTAGGCCCAGAGTTTAGTCCCCACGACAGACAAAAACAAAAAAAGAAAAGACATTGGAGAACTAAAGCAGCTGCTGCTGCTGCTTTTTTTTTTTTTTTATTGTTGTTGTTTCTCTTGCTGGCATTGGGGCTTGACTCAGGGTCTAGGCACTGTCCCTCAGCTCTTCAGCTCAAGGCAAGCACTCTGCCACTTGAGCCACAGATCCACTTCAGGCTTGTTGATTGTTAACTGGAGATAAGAGTCTCATGGACTGGGCTGGGAAGGTGGCTCAGTGGTAGAGTGCTTGTCTTGCATGTGTGAGGCCCTGGGTTCAATTCCTTAGCACCACATAAACAGAAAAAGCCAGAAGTGGTGCTGTGCCTCAAGTGGTAGAGTGCTAGCCTTGAGCTAAAGAGCTCAGGGACAACACGCCCAGACCCAGAGCTCAAGCCTCACGACTGACCAAAAAAAAAGTCTCATGAACTTTCTTGCCTGGGCTGTGATCCTCAGATCTCAGCCTCCAGAGCAGATAGTATTATAGGTGTGAGCCACTAGCTTGAACTAAAACTTCTTTAATTCATTTGAGTCATCTCTCTGTGCCTTGGCTATTCGTTCTCTTTCCAGGCAGCAAATGAGAAAGGAAAGTCATTTGGGATACTGACTTATAAATGTCAATTCTGGGCTGGGAAGGTGGCTCAGTGGTAGAGTGCTTGCCTTGCATGCCTGAGGCCCTGGGTTCGATTCCTCAGCACCACATAAGCAAAAAGAAAAAAAGCCAGAAGTGGCGCTGTGGCTCAGGTGGTAGAGCACTAGCCTTGAGCTGAAGAGCTGAGGGATAGTGCCCAGGCCCAGAGTTGGACCCCCCCCCAAAAAAAAACATGTCAATTTTGACCCTCAAAGTTATCAGGACTCATGTGCCAGAGTAAGTTTACTCCTGAACAGTGTATATGTGCATTATGATTTTAATTTTTTGTGTCACTGGGGTTTGAGCTCAGGGTAGGAAGGGCTCTGCCACTTAAGACATATACCCAGTCCTTTTTTTTTGCTTTTTTCAGTTAGGGGCAGTCTGAATTACAATCCTTGGACTACTTTTCCTATGTATAGTCTTCCTAGTAGCTGAGATCAGAGGTGTGAATCTTACCTAGCTAACATCCAGTTCTCACCAAACAAAACCAAACATAAGGGATAGGGAATTGGGGAAAACTTCAGAGCATTTGATTTGGAAATAACTTTTTTTTAAATATGCCACCAAAAAGGAAACATAATTTTTAAAATAAATCAAAATTTAAGTGTCAAATTAGAAACTTCTAGGCCAATGCTAACTACATAAGAGGTACAGATCAGAAGGATCACAGTCTGATCCCGGGCAAAAGTTAGTGAGGTCCTATCTCAACCAATAAAAGACTAGGGGTAGTGGTGATGCCTGTCATCTCAACCACATGTGAAGAATAAATAGTAGGGTAGAGACCCAGGCCAGCCTGGACATAAAGTGAGAACCTATTTGAAAAATAATGAAAGGAAAAAACCCTACCTTCGAGACATCATATAAAAAATCCACACAAAGTGAAAATGAAAAAAAAAATTCCTGCAAGGGCTGGGGAAGGTGGCTCAGTGGTAGAGTGCTTGCCTTGCATGCTTGAGGCCTTAGGTTTGACTCCTCAGCACCACATATGAAGAAAAAGCTGGAAGTGGTGCTGTGGCTCAAAGTGGTAGAGCACTAGCCTTGAGCTGAGGGAGAGTGCCCAGGCCCAGAGTTCAGGCCCCATGACACACACACACACACACACACACACACACACACGCACGCACGCACGCACGCACGCACGCACGCACGCACGCACGCACACGAGCGCGCATGCGCTCCCTGCAAACCACTGGCAATTTAATCCTAACTTCTCAGTAGGCTGAGATTTGAGGTGATGGTTCGAAGCTAGCCCAGGCAAGAAGGAGAAGGAAAGGGGAGAGGGAGAGAGAGGGAGATAAAGTGATAATACTTAGAGCTTTACAAAAAATAAAAAAGAAAAGAACTTGAAGAAATACTTCTATAAAGATGCCCAAATAGCTAATAAGCATATGAAAAACACTCCATATCATTAATCAATGAAATATAAAGGGAAACTACATTGAGACATTGAGTCACTATTTCTCACCCCAGTCAGAATGGCTACTATCAAAATAAGAAGATAAGGTAGGTGCTTATGGCTCACACCTGTAATCCTTGCACTGACAAGGCTGATATCTGAAAATGTTCGTGGCTTGAAGTCAGCCCAAGCAGGAAAGTGTGAGACTCTTATCTCCAATTAACCACTGCAAAACCCAAAAGTAGAGCTGTGGGGCTTAAGTGGTAGAGCATTAACCTTGAGCAAAAAAGCACAGGGACAGTTCCCAGGCTGAATTCAAGCTGCAGGAATAGACAAAAGAAAACAATAAGTTGATGCCAATGTTATGTACATTTTGCTACACTTAATCAAAATAAAATACTCAAATCCCAGTAATTCTGTTACTTGTTAGCCAATCAGGAATTTGCTATGCTACACGATTAGAACTAGACTTTTAAACTGAGGTTTAATACTATCTTTGATACCCTGTAGCACCACACCCACTCTCTGCTCAATTTTGAATATTTTTTTAAATTATTTTTCCATCCAAGAACGCCACGAATTCTCTATTTATTCAGAATCTGTTTTACAAAGTTCAATTAACTTGTAGTATTTTCTGACCAACCTTTATTCATCATTTTTTTTTGCCACAGCGCCACTTCCGGCTTTTTCCTTTTTGCTTATGTGGTGCTGAGGAATCGAACCCAGGGCCTCATGCATGCAAGGCAAGTGTTCTACCACTGAGCCACCTTCCCAGCCATTTTTGAATATTTCATCAATGAAATAAGTCATGCTGGGAATATGGTTCAGTGGTAGAGTGCTCACCTAGTATGCATGAAGCCCTGGGTTTGATTTCTCAGTCCCACATACATAGAAAAAGCCAGAAGTGGTGCTGTGGCTCAAGTGGTAGAGTGCTAGCCTTGAGCAAAAGAAGCTAAGGGACAGTACCCAGGCCCTGAGTTCAAGCCTCCAGGACTGATACGCATGAACCCATGAGGATGCACACACACACACACAAGAACTTTAATGAGGGCTGGGAAGGTGGCTCAGTGGTAGAGTGCTTGCCTTGCATGCATGAGGCCCTGCGTTTGATTCCTCAACACCACATAACCAGAAAAAGCTAGAAGTGGTGCTGTGGCTCAAGTGGTAGAGCGCTAGCATTGAGCTGAAGAGCTGAGGGACAGCGCCTAGGCCGAGCTCAAGCCCCATGACAGACCAAAAATAAAAGTTTTGAGGCCTACCTAAAGCTACACAGTAGGGCTCTGACACAAAGAATCCTACATAAACAAAAGTAAATCAAAAGCAAACACGCAATAGGTGTTAGTAGTTTTACATATTATCAGACTGGAAGGAATATATATATATTATGTGTGCAGTCTCAAGTGTCTAGACTCTTCCACAACAGTGTACTTTTAGTACTCATAGCATTCCTACCAAGTTTGTTTGTTTGTTTTTATTGCCAGTCATGAGGCCTGAACTCTGGGCCTGGGTACTGTCCCACTCTAACACTTGAGCCACAGCACCACTTCTGGCTTGTTCTGCTTATGTGGTGCTGAGGAATCAAACCCAGGGCCTCAGGCATGTAAGGCAAGCACTCTAACACTGAGCCACCTTCCCAGCCCCTACCAAGTTTACATAATAAAATTAGAAAATTATTCACAATGCAACGTACAATATCTCATATACATCATGAATAAAAAGAGGAGTACTACTTGCCTAACATGCACGAGGCCCTGGGTTAGATTCCTCAGTCCCACACAAACAGAAAAGGCTGGAAGTGGTGCTGGGGCCTTGATCAAAAGAAACTCAGGAGCCAGGCGCTGGTGGCTCACAACTGTAAGCCTAGCTACTTAGGAGGCTGAGATCTGAGGATCACAGTTCAAAGCCAGCCAGGGGAGGAAAGCCAATGAAATTCTTATCTCCAACAAACCACCAGAAAACCGGAAGTGGAACTGTGGCTCAAATGGTAGAGCCCTAGTCTTGATCTGAAGAGCTCAGGGACAGCACCCAGGCCCTGAGTTCAAGTCCCAGGACTGGTCAAAAAAAAAAAAAGAAGAGGAGGGGCTGGGAAGATGGCTCAGTGGGAGAGTGCTTGCCTTGCATGCATGAGGCCCTGGGTTCAATTCCTCAGCACCACATAAGCAGAAAAAGTCGGAAGTGGTGCTGTGGCTCAAGTGGTAAAGGGCTATCCTGGAGCTGAAGAGCTGAGGGATAACGCCCAGGCCCAAAGTTCAGGCCCCATAACAAGCAAAAAAAAAAAAAAAAAAAAAGAAGAGCACTAGACTGAGTCAGTCATTAAATTCAAGTTTTATTTACCAGTGTAGGAAGTCACACTTCATTATGCAAGTCAATGGGCTCTGTGAACAACACTGGTGGTATCAAAAGATGTTGCCTTAATTCCATCACCTTGGCTACACAAGAACATACTCACCTCCATAGTAGAGTCCTGTAGCAGTGCACATGCGCCACTGTCCCTGATACATTCCTGCTCTGCTAGGGCTGCACATCTGGACGCTGACATCTGCAATCTCTTGGGGTTCTAGCGATCTCACCATCACCATGTTCACGTGTCCAAATTGGTCTCCCCCAACATATTTAAGACAGACCCCTGGAGGCCAAGCTTCTGCCCCTGAGTTCAAGCAAAAGAGAAAAATGTTAGGTAATTTGTGGTCCTATGCTTGGTATAACTTACTATGAATTGAAGAAGCCTATTTCTCTTAAAGAAATCAATCAATCAATCTATCTATCTATCCATCCATCCCTGAACTACATAATAATGCTTCACATGACCTGGCAAAAGGAATTGTCAAAAACAACCTCTGACCTTCAATGTGTTTTCATGAAACCGTGTCTATGGTAAAGCCAAAGTAGTTCCTTAAGAAGATGAGTGTTGCGGGGAGTCAGTGGCTCACGCCTATAATCCTACCTACTCAGGAAGCTGAGATCTGAGGATCATGGTTCAAAGCTATCCCGGGCAGGGCAGGAAAGTCCACGAGACTCTTATCTCCAATAAACCACTAGAAAAAAAAAATGGAAGTGGTGCTATGGCTCAAGTGGTAGAGGCCTTCCTTGCCTTGACCTGAAGAGCTCAGGGACAGTGCCCAAGCCCAGAGTTCAAGCCCCATGACTGATTTAAAAAAAGAAGATGCAAAATAAATAAATAAAAAGGTGAGTGTTCAATTTTTCGTATCATTACTAAATGACTCCATGTTCTTGAGCACATATATGGAATATTTATGTGCACATGTGAGGGAAGCTAGGAGGAGGACACAGAATCCAGCTGCACTGGACATTGATGGAAACAAACTAAGCAACTCAAAGGCAGCGATGAGAGGGAGGGAGTGAGAGGGCGAAAGGGAACAGCTCACACTAAGCAAAGGAAATGTACATTATCACCCAACGTGCAAGAAATAATTGTATTGTCAAAGCTCACAGAATTCACAAACATTATAAACCACGATAATGATAATTTGTCTCATGAAGGCTAAATGTGTTTGTGACTTTAAGTATCACTATCTCACAACACTGTGAAATTTGTGAATTTTTTTTTTTTTTTGGTCAGTTGTGGGGCTTGAACTCTGGACCTGAGCGCTGTCCCTCAGCTCTTCAGCTCAAGCTCTTGAGCCACAGTGGCACTTCCGGTTTTCTGGTGGTTTATTGGAGATAAAGAGTTTCACGGACTTTCCTGCCAGGGTTGGCTTTGAACTGCGATCCTCAGATCTCAGCCTCCTGAGTAGCTAGTATTACAGGCATGAGCCACCAGCGCCTGGCTGAAATTTGTGAAATGTATGCAATCACTTAATCTCAATAAAAATTTATTTTTTTTAAAAAAAAGGTGTTTCAGTTGACCTTAGAAAAAAGCACACACACATCCACCAAATTGACAGAAGCTTAGAAAAAGGACTATAAAGAACCATGAAGATGGCAGGCACTAGTGGCTCACAGTTTACATCTGTAATCCTAGCTACTCAGGAGGCTGAGATTTGAGGATCATGGTTCAAAGCCAGCCCAAGCAGGAAGTCCATGAGATTCATCTCCAGTTAACCATCAAAATAGTGGATGTGGAGCTGTGGCTCAAAGTGGTAGAGTGTTAGCAGTGAGTATAACAGCTTAGGAACAGTGCCCTGGGCCCTGAGTTCAAGACCCATGATTGACAATAAAAAAGAACCATGGAGATGGAAGTGGACACTCATACCTTTGGGAAACTGCTATCTCTACTAAAAAATACCATATGTCCAGTTGCACTTGAAAGTTTTAACCTGATAAAGTGAAAATAAGGCTGATCATGGCAGTATACACTTGTAAATTAAGCAATTGGGGCAGGAGGATCATTGTCTGTCCATACAACAAGTTCTATGAGTTTGTGCTACCTAGTAAGCCTCTGTCTCAAAAGTGATTAAAAAAAAAAAAAAAAGGCAGGCATTGGTGGCTGAAGCCTGTAGTCGTCATACCTACTTAGGAGACAGAAATCAGGAGGATCAAAGTTCAAAGTCAGCCTAGGCAGAAAAGTTTCCAAGACCCCACCCCACTTCCCAAATAAATAGCACAAAGCCAGACTAGAAGTGTGGCTTAAAGTGAACAAAAAACAGAACCAGAGGGCTGGGAATGTGGCTTAGTGTTTGCATAGCATGCATGAAGCCCTGGGTTCGATTCCTCGGTAGCACATAAACAGAAAAAGCCAGAAATGGCACTATGGCTCAGGTGGTAGAGTGCTAGCCTTGAGCAAAAGAATCTCAGGGACAGCACCTAGGCCCTGAGTTCAAAACCCAGGACTGGCAAACAAATAAACACAAAACATCTGCCATAAAAGGTTTTTGTGGTACCAGTTTTAAGACACACACACACACACACACACACACACACACACACACAAAATCTGGGTTGGGCAAACAAACAAACACAAAACATCTGCCATAAAAGGTTTTTGTGATACCAGTTTTAACACACACACACCCACACACACACACACACACACACACACACACACACACACAAAATCTGGGTTGGGCTCCCATGCCTCCTGACTATAATCCTAGCTACTAAGGAGGCTGAGATCAGAGGATAGAAAATGGAAACCAGCACGAGCAAGAAAGTCTATGAGACTCATATCTCCAATTTACCAGCAAAAGATGAAAGCAAAACTGTGGCTCAAGTGGCAGAGTGCTCTAGCCTTGAACAGAAAAACCTAAGGGATAGTGCTCAGTACCAGCACAAAACCAAACCAGAGAGTACGAGGAAGGGGGTGACATTGTCCAAAAGGAAATGTCCTCTTTACCTGACTTATGTAACTGTAATCTCTCTATATATTACCTTTATAGTAACAATTTAAAAAAACAACAAGCCAGGTGTCAGGGGCTCACACCTATAATCCTAGCTACTCAGGAGGTTCAGATCTGAGAATCATGGTTCAAAGCCAGCCTGGGCAGAAAGGCCTTGAAACTCATCTCCAATGAGCCACCAGAAAACCAGAAGTGGCACTGTGGCTCAAGTGGTAGAGTGCTAGCCTTGAGCTGAAAAAAACAGGGACAGGGCCCAGGCCCAGAGTTCAAGCCCCACAACGAAACAAAACAAAACAAAAAGAACAAAAACTCCTAAAGAACTTACAGAAATACAAAGCACTTTAAAATTTTTTGACTGCAAATAAACTACTGTATAACAATTCACACTATTTTGTGCAACAAAAACAAAAAAACATGGGCTGGGAATGTAGCTTAGTGCTAGAGTGCTTGCCTGGCATGTAGGAAGCCCTGGGCTGATTCCCCAGTACCACATAAATAGAAAAGCCAGAAGCGGACCCAACCCAGTGTTGTAGATGACTCAGGATACCTGTGGCTTTATAACACTTTCATTCACTTCCTTTTCCTTTTGGATTATCAGTGTTGCATTGTTAATATGGAGGAACATGGTAACACAGGAAAATACTAACATTTTCTTCTTTTCTTTTTTTTGAAATTCTTGGTCTAAGTCTAATTTTCTTTAAATATTTTCATATGTGTGTGTGTGTATGTGTTAGTACTGGAGCTTGGACTCAGGGCCTCTCTTGTTTTTTTTTTTCCCAAACTGGTGCTTTACTACTTGAGCCAAACTTCCACTTCTGGCTTTTTGCTGCTAACTGGAAAAAAGTTATCTTTCTCATTTGTTGGTTGGAAAAAAGTTATTTTTCTCATTTGTTGGTCTGGGCTTGCTTTGAACCTTGATCCTCAGATCTCATTCTCCTAAGTGGCTAGGATTACAGGTGTGAGCCACCAGCACCCCACTTAGTTTTCGTTTTCAAACAAAAAAATACCACCTCAAATTCAAAAGTATTTTTTTTTTGGTTGTGGGGCTTGAACTCAGGGCTTGGGCACTGTCCCTGAGCTTTTCACTCAAGATTAATGCTTTACCTGTTTGAGCCACAGCACCACTTCTGGTTTTCTGGGGGTTCATTGGAAATTAGAGTCACAGACTTCCATGTCTGGGCTGGCTTTGAACCATGATCCTCAGAGATTGAGTAGCTAGGATTACAAATGTGAGCACCCGCACCTGGCTCATTAACCTGGCTCATTAATTCTTATATAAAACGTTAGTTTAGCCAGTTTCCCCTCACTATGAACCGAATTACAAACTCAAATCAACCAAATCAGAAATAAAAATGATGGAGTAGAAGTGTACAGGTGGAAGATATTTCACCACATAACCAGCATAGCTCCTAATACCAAACAATGTCAGACTGTGTTTAGATGCCATTAGGATTTAAGTGGCTTAAAAGCATGAAAATTAAACTCTTCTTCCTATTCTATAGAGTAGATATATTTTACTGGTTACCATGTTAGTTTAAGAAATTCTACATGCCAGGCACTGGTGGTTCACGCCTGTAATCCTAGCAACTCAGAAGGCTGAGATCTGAGGATCAGGGTTCAAAGCCAGCCCAGGCAGCAAAGTCCATGAGGCTTTTTTTTTTTGTCCATCATGGGGCTTGAACTCTGGGCTTGGGCACTGTCCCTGCACTCTTCCACTCAAGGCGAGCGCTCTACAGCTTGAGCCACAGCGCCACTTCTGGTTTTCTAGTGTTTTCTTGGAGATAAGAGTCTCATGGACTTTCCTGCCCAGGTTGGTTTTGAACCTTGATCCTCAGATCTCAGCCTCCTGAGTAGCATGAGCAACTGGTGCCCAGCATTCCAGGAGACTCTTATCTCCAATAAACCACCAGAAAACAGGAAGTGGCGCTGTGGCTCAAGTAATAGAGTGCTAGCCTTGAGCTAAAGAGTTGAGGGACAACGCCCATGCCCAGAATTTAAGCCCCACGTCAGACAAAAAAGAAAAAAAAATAAATTCTACATATGTATAAGAAAAGCTCAGAGGGCTGGGAAGTTGGCTCAGTGGTAGAGTGCTTGCCTTGCATGACTGAGGCCCTGGGTTTGATTCCTCAGCACCACATAAGCAGAAAAAAAAAAAAGCCGGAAGTGGTGCTGTGGCTCAAGTAGAGCGCTAGCCTTGAGCTGAAGAGCTGAGGGACAGCGCCCAGGCCCAGAGTTCAGGCCCCACGATGGACCCAAAAAAAAAAAAAAAAAAAGCTCACAGAGCCTCATAATCTCATTCATAAACTAAAATGCTTGTTTCTTATTCCTTAATAACTATTAAGAAAACATTTGGACCAGTATAAAATTTTACCAAATAAACATGTTACATTAATTTTTTTAAAAATCAAGTAAGGAAGAAATGTCCATTATACTCTTACCAGAATTCTGGATTCGCCATGTTTTAATAAACTGAGTATCAGGAGGTATTGATTCTCCTTCTCCTATGGTGACATCTTCAACGAAGGACATAGAGGGTACGCTGATGTTTGGGCTCTCAAAGTCATAATAGGCGCCAATTGCTGCTTGTAAGTTCCTATAAATAAAGAGAAAAGGGAAAAAAGACTTCAGTCTGTCTAAAGGATCTTATCCTTACTGCCAAACCAAAGGAAAAGCTTGTTTAATGGAGTTTATTACAAAACCTAATCCTGACATGTAAAACATTAAGTCTTCAAAAGCTATCAATTCTGGCTAAGGAATGACTGGGAAAAAAAAATCCACCAGGACTAACAAATGTGTGTATCTCTTCCCTCTTAAAGTACCCATCCAAGAAGTGACCAACTATCATTAGCATCAACAAGAGGAAATCTATTATCCACAAGGATTGGGAGTCAAGAGGGGTGGTATGCACCTATAAACACAGTACTCAGGAGGCTGAGAAAGAAAGGTGGCTGAGGCAGGAGGCTTGAGAGTGCAAGGCCTGGGCTACATAGTGAGAGAACCACCGCTACTGAAAACAACAAAACAGTAGAAATGTGGCTCAAGGCCTGGAAGGTGGCTCAGTGGTAGAGCGCTTGCCTTGCATGCATGAGGCCCTGGGTTTGATTCCTCAGCACCACATAAGCAGAAAAAAAAAAAAAAAGACAGAAGCGGTGCTGTGGCTCAAGTGGTAGAGCGCTAGCCTTGAGATGAAGAGCTGAGGGACAGCGCCCAGGCCCAGAGTTCAGCCCCATGACCGGACCCCCCCCCACACCAAAACAAAAGAAATATGGCTCAATGGTACAGAGTGCCAGCCTTGAGGGAAAAAGCCAAGCAAAAGCATGTGGTCCTAACTTCAAACTCCAGTGCAAACACAAAAAAGAAAAGAATGTGTAAGGAAATCATGAGAACTCTTTTTTTTTTTTTTTTTTGGGTCCAGTCATGGGGCCTGAACTCTAGGCCTGGGCGCTGTCCCTCAGCTCTTCAGCTCAAGGCTAGCACTCTACCACTTGAGCCACAGCACCACTTAAGGCTTTTTTCTTTTTGCTTATGTGGTGCTGAGGAATCGAACCCAGGGCCTCAGGCATGCAAGGCAAGCACTCTACCACTGAGCCACCTTCCCAGCCCATCATGAGAACTCTTAACTGTGACTGCGAAAGTCAACTCAGTTCCACATATAAAGATATTCTAATCTAATTTTTGAGAGTAATATACATATATGAATAATATATGCAGATATATGCATATATGCATGTATCATAAAACTGAAAAAAAAATCTCTTCTTCCCTCAACCCACAAATACTCATGGATGGTCATTCATATTACCTTTTTTCCAACTGTATTTTTTTTTTTGGTCTTTTTTGATACTAGGGATCGAACCCAGGACATCACACTTGCTAGGCAAGCGCTTTGCCACTGAGCTACATCCCAGCCCTCATATTACCTTTTTAATATCCTTCTAGAACTTCCTTTTGCATAGACAAGGAAATATAATACATATTCCTGTTTTCGCCTTTAACACAACTGATGTCATATTATATACCCCCTATGACTTTATGCCCTTAACACTAGATCTTGAAGATATTTCTGAAAATGTACAATAAATATTCTCATTAAGTGATATTCACTGTACAGATGTGTCATTACTTAACCAACTGACTTGAGTGTTTCCAATCTTTGACTTTTCCAGAAACAAGTTTAGGCATGTATCAATTAGGATACATGCACATGTGATAAACTCCTATAAAGTAACAGTACCTGGTCAAGAAGGTATTTGTGATTTTCACAGATATATCCAAATTTCCTTCAACAAAGGCTATATAATAATGCTGCCCCTAAGAAAGTGTGCATGAGCTGGGTGGTGGTGGCTCACACCTGTAATCCTAGCTACTCAGGAGACTGAGATCTGATGATCATGGTTCAAAGCCAGCTGGGGCAGAAAAGTCCATGAGACTCTGATCTCCAATAAACCACCAGAAAACCAGAAGTGGTACTGTGGCTCAAGAGGTAGAGCACTCGCCTTGAGCTGAAGAGCGCAGGGACAATGCCCAGGCCCAGAGTTCAAGCCCCATGACCAACAACAACAACAAAAGGCAAGAAGAGGAGAGGGGAATGGGGAATGTGGGTAAGTACAGTAAATACCTTCTTATATGTCTTTAATTTCACTTTTGGAAGAATTACTTTGTAAATTTTTTTGGTGGTGGTGATTGTCGTCGTCGTGGGGCCTGAACTCTGGGCCTGGGCACTGTCCCTCAGCTCTTCAGCTCAAGGCTAGTGCTTTACCACTTGAGCCACAGTGCCACTTCCGGTTTTTTCTGCTTATGTGGTGCTAAGGAATCGAACCCAGAGCCTCATGTATGCAAGGCAAGTACTCTACTACTGAGCCACTTTCCCAGCCCCCCTAAATGTTTCATAAATTACTCACACAGCCTCCATTCTTTAGAAGGTATTACACCAAGTACATAAACCAAACCTTCCTCAATTGATCAGAATCTTATCACTCACTGTTCCACCATTCATCAATGCCAGGAAAAAGGCCACAAAAGCATTTAAGTAAGCTATGTTCATTGCAGAGATCAAAGAACTTTTTGGTAATTACATTAACTGCTTCTCTCCTGTACTACTCAAATCAGTGACATCATCATCACAATTCCCATAGCAGACAACAATCTAAATTGCATGTTTCTAAACATAAGCTAATGACAAGGCAAGAAACCAGCTCAGAGAAAACACAATTGTTCTGTACAAATACTTTTCGGGAGGGAGGGGAATGAGGCAGGAGTTACCTACTGCTCTAGGTGCTTTTAGCTACCAAGAAGGAAGGCTATATTTTGAACAGCTACCTCAGTTGACCTCATGCAAGAATGGTCTGTTACATTAGTCACTGAATAGAACTACAACAATACCAATTGCCTGCCTGTATATGTGTGCAAGATAAAATTACATGGAGCAGAGGCTGGTCCAGGGGCCAAATGGCACCTGTGTGATCACTCTTTGATACTAAGGCTTAAGCTTCAGTCTTCCCAGCAGTTTCCTACCTGGTTTATTGTGATCCAAAACCAGGTATGTACATATGTATATGTGTATACACACACACACACACACAAAACAAACCTGACAGGGCTGGGAAGGTGGCTCAGTGGTACAGCGCTTGCCTTGCATACATGAGGCCCTGGGTTTGACTTCTCAGCATCACATAAGCAGAAAAAGCCAGAAGTGGTGCTGCGGCTCAAGTGGTAGAGCCCTAGCCTTGAGCTAAAGAGTTGAGGGACAGCGCCAAGGCCCAGAGTTCAGACCCTACAACTGGCAAAAAAAAAGAAAGAAAGAAAGAAAAAATTCTACTTTGCAATTTGTTCTTTTGAAAACATTTTGTAATAGCTGCACACAGATAATTTTTCTGCTTCTGGCTCCAGCAAGTAGCTTGATAAATTGTTTTCTGTTCACTTGGCTGTGAAATATACTTGGGAGAGAATAACCTATTGGACCATTCAGGACAACTGCTAATTCTCATCCCCAGCCTGTGTTCATCTCTTGGCTCTGCCTCCAGACAACACTTTGGGACCATTGCAACAGCAACACTTACAGAGAAGTCAAGCTCCCCTTCTAGGCAAGTTCATCTTCTCCTCCAGTCTACTTTTACTCAAACCAATTCATCCCACAGCAACGGGAACAAAACTGCTTGTTTGTACCTGTATTTTATAGGTAATTTAGCCAGAAAATAAAAAGAAGAAACATTTTTCCAAATGCAAACAGAAACTGAAAGTAGTGAACTGGAGTTCTGGCAGGAGGCTGGCTTGGAGAATGACAAAGCAAATTCATTTTCCACACACAGGGCAGAAAGCAGACTTTGGCCCAGTGGCACCCTAAACCTAGCAGACAGGTACACAGTTCCTCCAAGCAGGATCGTTTAGATTCTGCCTTACTGGGCTGAGCAAGAGCAGGATTAAATCCAACGCTCCAAGTCAGGGACAGAAAAGTAGCTTTAACTTGTACTGCAACTGAAAACAACATGGCTATTATTAGTAAACAAGAATTTCTAGTGAAATGGAGCTGGCCAAGAGACGAGAAAGGAAAACATTGGTCCTGTGTTCCATCCACTTTAAACTTCAATGTTTTTGCTCAAAAGCAGTTTCTAATTGGCTACCAGCATGTTAATAGCACTGGAAGAACAAAGGGAGACATGAGGCTGAGAACTGTCAGGGCTGCCGGCTTCAACGATATAAAATTCTTAGTGCTTGAAAACTTTATCCTGCAGATGGCTGAAACAGTCCATTTTTTGCACTGTAGACATTACCACACACAAAAACTAATAAGAGTATCAGTCTTGGAGTTGGTTCCTACTCTAGGCTGTCAGGCTTTGAGCAGAGGGACTATGTCTCAAAGCAGTACGCATCTGTGAAACTGAGTGGATATTACCATCTCCCCAGTGTGTGGAGATGTTCTTGACCATCAGTTATTCATTCAACACATGTTTAATGAACACTCATTCATGTGTTAAACACTTGGTATGGGACTAGGAGTAAAAGCTAGGTATGCCTGTAATCCTAGCTACTCAGGAGGCTGAGATCTGAGGATCACAGTTCAAAGCCAGCCCAGTCCATGAGACTCTTATCTCCAATAAACCACTATAAAACCAGAAGTGGCACTGTAGCTCAAGTGGTAGAGCGTCTTGCCTTGAGCTGAAGAGCTGAGGGACAGTGCCCAGGCCCAGAGTTCAAGTCCCATGACCAACAAAGAAAAAAAAAAAAAAAGTCACTCATTACAATAGTGGCAGAAATACAAATAAATAGAGTCCAGACTTCAGGAGGAATTAAGTGTTAAGAGTATTATAAACCATGCTTATATTTAGCTAGGCAACTCTTAGCCAAGTAATCAAATTCTACAGATAAATTCTAAGGAAATATGGATGCAAAATCTGGCTATAAGAATGTTTAGTGGGGCTGGGAAGGCGGTTCAGTGGTAGAGCGCTTGTCTTGCATGCATGAGGCCCTGGGTTCGATTCCTCAGCACCACATAAGCAGAAAAAAAAAGCCAGAAGTGGTGTTGTGGCTCGAGCGGGATAGCACCCAGGCCTAGAGTTCAGGCCCCACGACCGGAGCCAAAAAAATAAAAATAAA